GCAAGTGTAACGAAAAGTTTTAAAAATTGTTCTTTTACATTGTTCCAATTCATCTGCTCTAAAATATTTGCCTTTGAATCTTGCGTGATGCAAGATGTTAACACTTTATCCTTCGAATTGGATACTTCACACGGCAGTTTGTAATTTTTTCAGTCATGGCTAAAAATAATCGCATTCATCCGCAGTCAGTGTATTTATAGTACAACTCTCAACAGCAAACATATTAATTGCTGCTTTTTTTCTAAGAGCCTTTCCATAATGGTAAAGGAACTACTCAATCAAGTTGGAATTAATTTATGTGTTGGTAAATGTAATAATTCTTCATAAGATTTCAAATATCTGCTGGCTGATTCACTTCTATGAAAATGGCCTACTATTTTACGACATTTCTGCAACAATTCTGTAACAATTCTAGAGATCCAAAACCACAACAAAATTTTAACAACTGTCGTGAAATCATGTAACTTCACGACAAATACAACACCTTGTGAATGACCTAATAGTTCTGCAATAGGCCGAACCTTCGTACACATAGAAAATGTAAACTTTTTGTTTTTGAAATAAAATAATAAGAAATTTCACAATAGTGGAAATATTCCGTGTCTGGTGTTAAACACAGCTTCTTAAAAAAAAATTAGTGAAACTACCTCTAAAGTACTTGTATTATCGCTAGTACAATGATAGGTTATAATTTTTTTTAATAGAAGCACAGATGTGGAAATACATATAGCCAGAAAATGTGACTTTCGGCCAATATTTGCACTAAATAATACTAAACAGTGTTTTAAAAACTGGTACTTGTGTTTTTCAGTTTTTCAAACACTGTTTAGTACTATAGTAGGTTATATAGATTAATTTGTCAAGGGTTTAGTTTTATTTGCCAAAACTTTAGCTAACGAGACGTATTAGCCGCAATAAGAAGAGACAGGCCGAAATACGTGAGTGCGAAAAGCGTTGAAATGCTGGCCGACAAGAAAAAACCCCAAAAATTTTACCAGGGAGTTAGGCGACTAACAGAAGGTTTTAAACCCAGTGCGAACTCTTGTAAGAAAACAATGGCGACCTAGTGACTGTTGTCCAGAACATACTTATATTATCGAAGGAGCACCCTATTGAATGGCAGTACGACCCCGGGCCCCAGTCGATGATGACAGAGTCGATGTTCCACCACCTATGAAGAGGTATGAATAGCAATAGCGCTTTTGAACTAGTAATTTTTAGCAAAAAAAAAAAACCGACTTCAACTCCCATATAAAAAAATATATATATATATATATCTCATGATCCGCTGATCGGATCTTAACCAGATTAGTATGGGACCACCTCTGTGACACTACCTTTCCGATGCAAAAAGAATTATCGAAATCGGTTGACGTGGTGCAAAGTTATGCGGTAACATACATACAAAAAAAAAAAAAAAAAAAAAAAATATTCCGACGAACTGATAACCTCCTCCTTTTTTGGAAGTCGGTTAAAAACAACAAAGCTGCTAGAGCTGACAGCCTGCCAGCTGAACTATTCAGAATTGGGAAAGACCTCTCCGAGCCGTTGGCTACCAAACGGGGTTTCAGACAGGCGACTATCTTTCATGTGATTTATTTAATCTGATTTTGGAAAAGATAATAAAACCTGCAGAACTAAACCGCTCAGGAACAATTTACTACAAGAGCGTACAATTGCTGGCTTGTGCCGATGATACTGACATCATCGGTAAGAAAAACTGCGAAGTCTGTTCTGCCTTTTCCAAGTTGGATAAGGAAGCAAAGCGATTAGGTCTGGCGGTTTATGAGGACAAGACGAAGTATCTTCTGTCATCAGTCAGCACATTCACGCCATGGCCTGCACGTCACTGTTGTCATGCCCTTCGCATTGACTCCGACGGTCCAGCTCTAAAAGTATTCAACTCGAAACCCGCTGGTGGTAGCAGAGAAAGAGGGAGGCCCCCACTGAGATGAAAAGATCAAGTATAAGAACTTGGCTTCACTCCCTGTTGCCAACTTGGTGCTGTTCGCACTAAATTTAGTGATTTTCTTTATTCAAAACGCAAAAAATTTTGAGTTTGGTGCTTGGTGTTTTTTGTTTAGTTTGAAGACACCAAGTCTGTGAGCCTTAAAAAAAAACTAAGCTAATAGAAATCGTAAGCAAACATATGTTTGCCAACAAATTTTTTACACAAAAAGATTTTTCCTACTGTGCGCTCAAATAAGGCTCATTAAAAAGGGAAATAAAATTTCGTTATGTTTCAGATGTCAAGCAGTCTGAAAGAAAAGTTCTTTATGTTCCTTTAGTTCACGGGACCATAAGAGACTGCAGTGTAGATTTAAACTACCACATAGTTTATGAAACTTCATTTTTTGTTTTTGCTTTCGTTTGACAGGAATTGTAGTAAAAATTACGCAAAACGTAGGCAGGAAAAAACGCATACATTTTTCTCGAATCTAAGCGAAGTGGCAACGCTGGTCACAGCTGCAAATTAGAAAATAAAAACAAGAATGTTATCATCGCTTGGACGAAAGTAGTTGAATTTATAGAAAACAGAAAAAAATTCGACCGTTGAGCATGAAACATTGATTTTTATTAATTTAAATCAGCATCCGTTCAAACAAATTTTTATGCATATAAAGTCTATTAAATACTCCGATAAAAACTTGGTGCTTTTTTCGAGAAAAACACAAATTTTCTTGTGTTTTAGTGCGTTTGCAAATTCAAAACTTGGCAACACTGGCTTCACTTGGCATTTCCAATTGGCGTCAGTTCACACAGAAGAGAAACGGCTGGCGTGGTTTGTTGAACTCGCCCAAAATCGCTTCGGCGCACAGTGCATAATTTCGGCGATTTAGGGGAAGGAAAATCATAGCTCCCACAATTTTGACTCTAGAATATATTTTTTTCTAGTTATGTACTTCTCATAGACTGCATAATTACGCTTTCAAAGGATGTGGGTGATTCCATAAGTCTAATATTTTATATGGGCATTTCCAGGGGAGGGTCTTTATAGTCAAAAATTAAAAGTGATATATCTCTGTTAGGTATGATCGAATCTGGGTTATTTTTTCCACGTATATTGGTTGCACGTGCGGAATATTTTTGCAAAAAATTTACCCGTTAGGTGGCGCCGGGGTCCAAATATTTTGAAAGCCCGTATTTATAGACTGATTTTGTTAATATTTGCGATATGTATTAGATACATAGTAAGCAATATATTCACAAAAAATATAAATATAATTACGTAATTTGATTTCTAATATCTTCGCACCATTTTGGCTGACAGTTTTCACCTTTTGCATTAACTATGGTGTTTTACAAGAACCAAATTAAATTATTATTTGTGTTTCTTCACCTTAAGGTCGATTTGATTTGATTTGAGATTTGTAGCTGCCATGCCTCAAAATAAGAAAAATCCCAATGACTAATTTTTTGTCACCAAAAATACACAAAAACCCGATTTTTTTAACCAAAGGTTGACTTTAAATCGACTTTTTTTTTAATTGTGCAATTTTGTGCAAATTCTTACTATTGGCCCTTGATATACAGATGTCAGGTTAAAGGTTCCTGAAGAGACCCAAATGTCACACGCTGTCAAACAATTTATATGCTTATATGAAAAAAGCGAAATCCCATTTTTTTTAAATATAAAGGAGCATAATTGATATGTAAGGTTGACTTCTAAAATTTCAAAATAATGTTTTTAATTAAGTTTACAATGTGTAAAATGCAAAGTATACCCAAGACTGCAGTCTCGTTATTAGATGAGACGGATACAACCACTGATTGATAAAGACCGGAAAACTGGCGATTTTCGTTCGTCAAAACAGGCGTGTTTGCACAAGCTCAGAATTCTTCCAGGTAGAGATGGGTTTAGACCTGGGTATTTACCCAACGCTGGGTATTTACCCATTTATACCCAATTTCATACCCGGGTATTTATGTAATTTTGGGTAAATACTCATTTGAATAACAAATACTCGTTGTTACGTAGAGAAACAGAGATGTGAACATTTTCGAATTTATTTTGAACATATTTTCTTTAAGTGTATTTTGTTTATACATTTCTTGATTCGTTTTGCTCAGATAAGACAGTTTTGACTGCATCAAACACAACAACAATTCTTAATAAGAAGCGCTAATCAGCGTGCTTATGGCAATTCAATGTAATGAGAGGGAGCGATGGCAACAACAATGCTGAAGCAAAAGAAGAAGAAAAAGAATTTGGTTCATTTGTTATATTTGTTCCCAGCGATTAGTAAACGAAATAAAGTGCGCGTGTTGATAATTATATGTTAAATGATGGGAAGACCGAAAAATGAAACTTCAACAGGAATCACGCACTCTACTCGATATGAGGTTTTATCGGATACGGACAGCGACAGCGATTACGAATAAATTTAAAAATTATTTCATTTGTTATTAAAAAATCATAATAAAAAAGCATAAAAAGCATAAAAAAGCATAATAAAAAATTAAATTCTTTTAATTTAATTAAATTTTTCTTTATTCTGATTTATACCCACATTTTGGGTAAATACCCAGGTGCTTTGGGAAATACCTGGGTATTTACCTTTAAATACCCAATTTACCATTTGGGTATTTACCCTTGTCCCATCTCTACTTCCAGGTAATCTTCTAACAAATGGGGACCGATTTTCTATTATATCAGACATCTATACGCACACATATCGTATCTGAACTTTTTTTTACCAACTTCGATTTTCGATTTTCCTTACCCTAAATCACCCAAATTACGCACTGTGCGGCGGTTACAACGCCAAATAAGAAGAAGAAGAAAGGTAAGATAGTGTGAAAAATAGTTGCCATATGTACGTAACTTTGTAAGGAATGATTTTACTTTTTAGGTGAGTACCAAAAAACAATTTCGCAGGGGGTGACTTTTACGGCGAGTATTTGTTTTTATGTATTTACAACCTATAACTAATTCACAGAATATGTATATGAATATTTGCCACAAATTTTAATGTAGCCTATATGAACTTTCTACTTACTTGTGACTTGACGAAATCATCCGCCGGCGTGTGATGGAAGCCACACTTATCACGACGAAACTCCTTTTTTACAGGATGCACAATTACCCGTAAACGACTCATTTCTCGCTTGATCTTTGATATTGCTGAAATATCACGAAACTCTGAAACTCACTTCGATTATATAATTTTCAGTCCGCGCTAGGGCAGTTTCCATAGAGCACTGCATAACAGTTAGTGTCTGACTGGTATCACTTCAAAACTGTTTAAAGAAAAGAAAAAAAATTAAACAATGGTATTTTTGTGTGCAAACCAAAGACGTACAAATTCCTACTTATGTTTCTGCGTTGTCAGGTATTTACGTATGTAAATTATAACTGCATTATACTTTTCGAAAAAGAAATAATAATATCGCAGGGTCGAATACAACGTCAAAATTAGTTTCTTATAGCCTCTGAACCATCAAATTTTTATACTTTTCATGAAAAATTATAAAAATTCAACAAACTTAACCAATTACACCCAAAAACTTTAAAATTGTTTTTCAGAATTTTAGTAAAATTCTAGGTATGCAGTTTTAAAGCCAATTAAATTTAAGTAGGTAAAAGTGAAAATTTCGAGACGCTAGGAAATCGCGTGGATTTTTAATAATTTGTTTGGATGACGGTGCTAGGCATTTTCTTCTATATAAAAGGCACCATCCTAAGATAAAACGTGAGTGAATTGAACCGCTACACGGCTTCTTATATTTTTTAATAACTAATCTTTAATATGGACCACACTAAAATCTCCTTTACATGCAAAAATTCGTACATGTCCGACCCGTGACAAATGTTGTCCCACCCGTGACAGAGGAATTTCGGATTTTTTTATAATAAAGCAATAATTTTTCTTGTGGTTTTTAGTTTATTTGTATTCGTGGTTCTTTGTTTAATTATAATACATCAAGTTCACACAGAAAAGTGAAATTAATTCGGGAATTTTCCGCAAAATATATGTGCTCCACAAAGCGTCCCACCCGTGACAGAAAAAATCAGTCAGATTTTTCGCATATAAAAGTAAGCTGAAATTTTTTTCGTATTTTGTAATAACTCATATAATAGTCAACTAAGTGTAGCTTTACCACAAATTTATACCTAAATTTAAACAAGAAAGAACATTTTTTCTGTACAAATGTCCCATCCGTGACGGTGAAATCGCCCATATGTATAATCACATATTTGAGATCGTTTTCATTAATTATTTACAAGCAAACAAAGATATTTTTGATATTTTTTCAAAGCAAAAATAAATCTAAAAAATAAATAACTAAATTCCACCAAAAATTCCAGACTCTGTCATTTTTTAATTTAAGCCTTATAATTAATCTAATATTTTTCTGATTTTTATACCCGAGCGCCCCGCACCTATCTGGCTACGACCATGCTTACACCTTTTTACTATCACACTTAACTTTGCTTACTAAGTAGTGTTGATCCTTTATAGATTGATTTTATTGTTAATTTTGTAAAAATTTGACTTTAATTTTATTAATTAGTTTTAAAAGTTTAATCCCAATTTTCAGTTGAGCCATTCCATTGTGACTAGTGGGACATTTTACTCCAGAATGTGATCAATTGTGAATTTTAACTACATATGTCGTCGGAGCTTATACAAGAGCGAAAGATATTTTTAAACATCAGCCAAAGCTTTGTTCCCCCTTTCTGTTAGATTTAAGGTTTTAAACTTTTCTAACAGCTGTAAATAAAATACATTTTTAAATATAGAACGATAACTAATGAATAAAATTGCTTTAACAAAAATACCAAGCGATTTCTTAGTTTTGTGTAACCATCATTTTATGATATTTTTCCCTTGTGCCCTCAAAAATGAATTTTAGCCAAAACACTTAATATTCACGAACGAAGTATTTGTGTTTTAAAATATGAATTATACGCTTTCGTTTTCAATAAAAATTAAGTTTATATAATCTTCATAGAAATATTAAAAAATATTTGAAGTTGTGACTGACGGGACATCTCCTTGTGACTGGTGTAAAGTAATTATGCATTATTATTATTATAAAAGTTTTCATAGATAAAAATTACAACTTCTTTTTATTTTTGTAATATTTTCCCACAGGGTAATGAAATGTAGTCATTCAAAAAGAGGTTACTACTGAAACAGCGATAATTAGGGCATATTTAAATTTACGTAGTTTTCCTCTTTTCAATGACCCATTTGCCAGCTTTGGGAGATAAGTACATGTATTTTTCAGGGGTATTTTTTCTTAGACCTTGCATAAAAAAAATTAAAAAAAACGATATAGGGTTGGTCGAATGAATGGCCTCCTTATCACCAGTTCCGAGTCTATTCGATTGCTGAGGTACCATGACATAACTCCAAGTGGCATAACTCCAATTTTAAATTTTGTAGTTATGCCACTCCTTATACAGTGACAGAAATCTATTTTTTTTCTTGGGGTTATGTCACCTGCCTAAAACATATTTTCCAGCTCTCAAGAAAAACAAAAAAAAACATACATATAAAACACGCTCAAGAAATTAAAAAGAAATTTTCTATTAACTTTCTTCTGCTCAAAAATACTTCCGCCACTCTTTTCCAGCAACACAGAAAGTAGAATTCTACTAAGTGAGGGTTATAATCCCTAAGCGCGGCCAAAGGCCGCATACGCAGGAAGAATTTCTACACTGAGAAAAAAATCAACCAAAAATTGGTTAATATTACCAAATTCAAACTTGAAAAGGAATCAAAGTGATTTTTGTTTAATATTAACAATGCTTTGGTTGATATTTTCAACAATGATTTGGTAATATTAACCACACTTTTCTTTACATTAACCAAACTTTTGGTTGTCGATTTTTTCGTTTGAATAAATATGTATATGTCATATTACATATATTATTATAAATATGTATATGTTCTGCACTTTACAGATGCTTTTTCATAATTCGGAGACACAGAACACACATTTTTATTTTCATTTTAACAACTTGCCTCTGACGATATTTGAAACCGCATCTTCTGAATGTTAGCATATAACAGCGAGCATCTCCGCACACTTAGCTACAGCCGCTTTATAAATGTGTCTGCAAATGTTCAACTTGAATCAATTTTCTTCCTCGTTTGATTTGGTTCTGCACTTCACAGAGGCTTTGTCGTAATTAAGAAAAACCAAAAACAAAAAAAAAAAAGTTATATATCACGCTGATGGCATTCGTACTGCTGGAAGCCATCAAATAATAGCAAGCACCTCTATATTGACTCCAAGCACGTTCAGCCACTGCCATACATACGAATTTGTTCTAAAATGTTCAACTTGCATCACATTTATTAGCCATGAAAAAACCAAACCATAGCTTGGTTGAAAAAACCATTGTACTTTTGGCTCAGTGTACGCAAAAATACTTCCGCCGCTCTTTTCCGACAACACAGAAGGCCGCTTACGCAGAAAGAAGTTATGCGCAAAAATACTGCCGCCGCTATTTTACGGCAACAAAGAAAGGAGAATTCTACTTAGTAAGGGTTATAATTCCTAAGCGCTGCCGATGGCCTATAGGCGTAGACAAGAAAGTAATGTAGGCAAAGCCAGCTTGTATGCCAGTGTTTTGATAACAATTTTATCATTGCTATTGCACATTCCAAATTCCTTTGGTTTGCAAAATTACATGAGGGATTTGGAATTTGTCACCTTTTCGTTTGGAAATATGTCACTCCTTATATAGTGACATAATCCCAAATTTTAAAATTGCAGTTATGCCACTTGGGTAGGGATGGCAAGAAAATAAAATAATCGATTAATTAATCATATGATTTACCACAAGCCAAAAAAAATAATTGCAATTATTTGCAATTATTGAGAAATAATCGATTAATTTAATTTTTTAAAGTGAGTATTCACAAAAATATTTTTCCCTAAAAAATTTCCACTTTTCTTTTTAATTTGCCTTAAATAAAATAAAACGAGTATTTCTAGCGCCATACATAGGTTTACAAAAACTAAGATTTGCATATTGAACCAAATCGACGCGCTGAATGCGATTCCGAGGTCTGTTAGCCTCCATTATGCCAGGTTCGAGGTCATTTGAAGGTCAAGTAGGGACAAATTCATTGAATAAACCTTAAAATTCCTATATATGGGATTTTTTACTCCCTGAACTCGAATCCGAGGTCCGTTAGCCTCCATAATGTCAGATTCGATGTCATTTGAGGGTCAAATCGGAAAAAGAATTTATTCAATAAAACTAAAAATTCTTTTTTTTTATTTTCGTTGTCGCTGAATACGAATATGGGGGTCCCTGATTTTTCAAGGTCATCTAAAGGTCAAATTCAGAAGAATCGTATTGTATTTTCAGGTGTATTCAATGAATTTTTGCCTAGTTGACCTTAAAAGGACCTCGAACCTGACGTGACGGAGGCCAACAGACCTCGGATTCGCATACAGGGCATCGAATAATATAGGGATAGGTTTGGTTCAATATGCAGAAACTTTTTTTTTGTAAACCTGTAGGTATTACTTAACAATATTTGCAAAAACAAAAGTTTTCATAACCGTTTTGATGTTAAGCGTAAAGTTTTGGGTAAACAGTTTTCATTTCCTCAAGGTTGACGAACTTGCCTACATACGGCTTATTTACAACCAACTTCTGGCATTTGACTAACTGGTTCGCCGATAAATCAACGCTGTCACAATAAGGGCCGGTTACTCAATGTCTGGTTAACACTAATCTGCGGTTAAACATCGTTATCGATGTCTTCGACTCCATGCATATAACAGGGATAACGTCGATAACTATGTTTAACCGGAGATTAGTGTTAACGAGACATTGAGTAACCGGCCCTAAGGGCCGTTTTCACTAACTCTGGTTAACACTTATCATCAGTTAAACCAAAGATAACATGATACGAAACTCTTTCTCTCGTGAGAGCGCTGTGAAAAGGTGCATTTTTATAACATCCCCCAATATTGACACAGCAGTGAAATACATATTGGGAGCTTTATTGAGTAAATTTGGTGAAATTTTTTATTTAACAAAACAAGCACATGTTTTGGAATTTTAATTTCTTCTTCATTACTTAATGTTAAAAATTATCATTCAACGCTTTCTTTAAGCAAGATTTTGTAATGTGATTGCAGGAAATCCATTGAAATGAAATCGGTGCGGTTTGTGCGTATCTAGTGGCAGCTCGCTATTTTGCTTGTCAGCTGTTCATTACAATTTTATTTGACAGTGCTGCCAAGTCAAAAAACGAGTTTCAGTT